TGCGGTCGGCATGTTCGTCGTCGAGTACTACCCTGTCCATCTACCCTGGTACGGTCTCTTGTTAGCACTTGGCATTGGCGCAGTCCTCTTCGTTCCTATCGGCATTGTCATGGCCATCACAAACCAGCAAAGCAGCATCTACCTAATTTGCCAGCTCATCTGCGGTGTTGTATTCCCCGGTCGACCCGTCGCAAACATGGTCTTTACAACCTTCGGCTACATCTCAGCAACCCAAGGCCTCAAGTTTGCTTCCGATCTCAAGCTCGGCCACTACATGAAGATCCCACCTAGAATCCTCTTCAAGCTCCAACTCTCCGTCACCATCATCTCCAGTCTAACACAGATCGGCGTGCTAAACTGGATGCTAAACAACATCCCTGGTATCTGCACACCTTCCGCCATCAACGGCTTCAACTGCCCCATCGCCCGCGTCCACTTCAACGGAAGTATTCTCTGGGGTGTCGTTGGACCAGGAAAGTTCTTCGGCCCCGGCGCACTCTACCAACACTTGATCTGGGCCTTCCCAATCGGCGCTATTGCACCTGTCATACTCTGGTACCTCGCCCGTGGCAGCCGCAAGTCCATCCTAAGTAAAGTCAACCTCGCCGTGGTTTTTGGTAGCTTGAGCTGGATTCCACCGGCCACAGGACTCAACTTCTCCGTTTGGGCGATTGTGTGCTACATCTTCAACTATGAGATCCGCAACCGGAGGAACGCGTGGTGGAAGAAGTACAACATGATGCTTAGCGCGGCCTTGGACTCTGGGCTCGCGTTTGGTGTTGTGGTCATCTTCTTTGGCATTGTGTACCCCGGTTGGATGAGCAACTTCAAGTGGTGGGGTACGGAAGTTTACAAACAGGTAAGTCAGCCACATACAACCTGGGCTTCATTGGATACAAAAGCTAACATCATCGATAGGGTTGTGACTGGCAAGCCTGCCCGTACAAGGAAGTGCCTAAAGGCGAAACCTTTGGACCTGGGAGTTGGTGATTCGTTGATTTCACGCATTGAGCTTGCTTACTCGCAATGGCATATGCATTAGACGACCGGCGTTTATGAGTGGAGTTTGGGATAGACATGCTGTTGGATACACCACGTTGATCGTTTGAGCGGATTGGATACGCTCGCGACTTTGCATGTTATTTTTAGGTACTGTCGTTGGATACAATGAATCTCATTGCTATTCTCTCTTAGTTTCTAGAAGCTCGTTGACAGCTAGGTTCCGATATGCGTTTCCAAAAATTCACCCACCTCTTACTTCACCGCTTCCGTCGTCTACGACAAAAAAGAAAGGTAGTAAAACCACAGCGCACACCCCAAACATCTAGCAAAACGTAATTGAGCCCACCGCGACTTGAACGCGGATCTCCCGCAATCTTGGTCAGCTTCTCACGATCTTGGTATGAGATTCTTGGTGGGATTCTTTCTAAGGATCTTGGTAGGACTCGTAGTCAGAATCTTAGTAAGGATCTTGGTCATATCTTGGTGTTCGTCACACTCAAACGATCTTGGTCGGCCGACGTATAAGCAGCGGGTATCTTACCATTAGACTATGGGCTCTTGGAGTTTTGATAGAAGAGGGGTGAGTTGGAGGATCTGAATAGTATGAAGTCATGGGTCTGGGATGTCGGAAAGGGCTACTTAGGAGACGATTGCTGATTGTGTGTATAGGTATTTCGAGCGGTCAATATGCGCTCCCACCAACTCACCCGCCTCTTACTCTTCGGCATCTATCTATCCACCTACCCATCTGGACTATCCAACAACAAAAAGGAAAAGACAGCAACACCCCAACCATATCCTTCTCCAACCTCCAGCAAAAAGAAAGAAATGAGCCCACCGCGACTTGAACGCGGATCCCCCACAATCTCGGCAAGGCTGTGTGCAGGTCATCATCGGCGAAGTCCCAAGAATTGGGCTTTGTACTGGTGTCAAAGCCCGACTGATTCGACACAACTTGGCGGAAGCTCAGACGGTCTCTCAGCCTTGTTCGTTCGCACGCTGAGACGATGCGATGGCAGCCCTGCGCGGTTCAAGATGTGGGTGTCTTACCGTTGGACTATGGGCTCTGAGAGTGGGTTTGATGGAGGAGTGGAGAGTTGGAGGGGGGGTATCGACTCAACAGAAGTCCGGACCTTTGATTTTATACGATATGTAGAGACAGATGGTTTAACAGCGCCTATTCCGCCTTGCGAGCTTCCTCAAATCACACGCCACGACGTATATCTAGCGAGGATAGCAAACGACAGCCACACTACCAGCGCCCCACCACCGACATTCTAGCCCACATATCAGCACACAAACGCCCCAAATATGCCGTCGGTACATACCTGATTGGATCTTTCTCCCCTTCGAGTCAGCCCAGTATTCACACCAACCGCTTGTCCTGTAGTTCCTTGTGTTCATCGTGGTACAGGCTTCGTGCACCGAGACTATATAATCGGTTAGAACATCTTTCATGCTTCTTTTTCTGGGACAAATTGACTTACTACCGTCGATGTTGTAGGCTTTGTTGTTTGCAACCCAGACCCCGTTTGCGTCTTTGGTCCACGCAGAACAGTAGCCTGCGAGGGCGAAAGGGAGCGCGAGAGTGGTGAAGCGCATGTTCGAATGGGTGTGTTGGTAGTGTGCTAGAGAATATGAGAGATGGATGTGGAGATGGAGATGGAGATGTAGATGGAGATGGATACTTCTTCTTTCGTGGCCGTTCTGCGTCTTCTTATACTTGGGAACTGAAGGTTGCCCAGGTGCATCGTCCGTCGCTTGTGGCACTGCCAAGGTGAGACGTATCATTTATTTACGCCTTCTTGGCCTACGCGGTGCCGGTGAACGTGTGGTTTTCTGGAGTATCTAGGTAGTTCTGTGTGAGGCTGCGCATAGTAAGTAAGCTTGCCTGAACCCAATTTGAGTTAGTGTCGTGGGCAAATGTGGTTTAGGTCGCTGCGTTGCAATCTACCGAGTTGATATGATGATCATCATTGGTTCCGCTTCTTACCTAAGTACCGATGATAAACATGGACGTCTACTCTAAGAATAGGCCAGCTCGGTCACAGCACACTTATGCACTGTATCTAACGTCTCGTTGGGCGCCCGAATTGCTCAACGTATTCTTCGAGACACGGATATGCGGCTGCTGATATGCACCTCCACCCGCCCAAGAGAACCAACAGCTAGCGCTCCAGCAGCCTCCCAGCGAGCCACTCGCGCACAATAGTCAATCTCAGAGGGTCTTCAAGACATGATTGCAAGCAGAGGAAAGAAGTACCAGTATGTGTATCGATCTTCATTAGATCTCTTCCTCCAGTCGAGATCGCTCGAGCTGACTATATAGTAGTGAAGCTCCTTCAAGTCACAACACCTGTCGTGGAAATACCGCAGTCGCCCGCTATCTTCTCACAATGCCTACGCGCCCAGACACATCGTATATTAAGCGCCAAGTAGATCCATACCATATTCTTCCAAACAACTCCGAATGATCTCGGGTGCCCATGCCGCCCTCGCGTTAAGTCAATTTGACATCAGTCTTCAGTTCCCAGTACCTGCCATCAATCATAGCAGCCGCCAAAGCCGAGGCGCGCTTCGCCATTTCCGTCTCCCCGGTCTCAATGGTCATCTTCGCGACGCCGCCATGACATTCGAACTTCCCAGCCCAGACATCTGGCCACTTGGGTGCGGAGTAGGCATTACTGGCAGTGACCTTCAAGTGCCAAGAGCCGTCGTAGCCGATTAGGAAGCCGGCGACGTGTTCGAAGCGGTACGCCTTCATGGATGTGTGGTTCTCGAAGGTGCCAATCTAGAGGGGTGTCAGCGACTGTCTGCTCGGTGGTGTGTGTGATGACGTACAAAGACTTCAAGACCCTTGCGCCATACGACGAGCTGAACGTCCTTCTTACCGAATACAGCCTTGAAGGTGTTGACGGTCGGACTGACGAACAACTTGAGAGTGGCAGGCGAGATGCTGTAGAGAGCGGTGACAACGGCATCTTGGAGCTTGAGCGCGCCCTCTTCTTTCATGGATGCAGCATACTCGCCGAGATCGAGGATATGAGCATGACTAGTCGGACCGCTTGAAGGCAAGGTCTCGAAGTCATCCGTGTAGGAAAGATTGCTACTGTCGCTTCTTCCAGAGTCGCTCTTGCCTGGCGAATTGGGGCTAAGGTCAGTACCAGCAGGTGATGCAAGACCGATGCTGTTGACGTCGATCTCCATGGGAGTACTGTCGTGATGAGTGGTCATTGTAGCGGTGCGGTTGACAGATTGTGCGTGATCTCGTGTGTCTTGTTCGAGATTGGTGTCAATGTCAGAAGGTTGTAGCTGCAAGCGTCTGAATCTCGTAGTTACCGGCATGGTACAAGATATATGAGTACAACAGCTAGAGGTGCTAGCTTCTGGTGAACGATGAGATCTAGGAAATAGCAATGGTGAGTATGAAGTTCAGCGGGGACCGATGAAAGATGAGGGGCAAAGAAGCTGCAATACGTGAAGTGTGCGCGTTTGCCATGCTGGTCACACTAGTAGCGCTAGCGGGCGAGGTCGGTGAGAGCCGGAGGAAGGCGCGACGGTGAGGAAAGAGGTGACTTACTGATTAGGACCCATCTCTGTGGTGAACTGTGATTACAAGTCGCAAGACTTTGGAGCAAGTTGCTGTGTTGCAGAAACGAGAGTACCATCTAGCTCGGTCTGGCCTGCATTGACAAAGCGAAGGTGAGATCAAGGAGCGACCACTGTTAAACGCGCCCTCGCAGCTTATTGAAACTAGCAACAAAGCCATTGTTGGGCCTTAAATGAATTCAGACTCACCAGAACACATATGGCTTGATGACAGCTTTGTGACAGTAAAGTTCCAAGTTGTAGACTACCTCGGTACTCTGAACTGTAGATGAGGCAGCTCACGTGAACAACGGCTCAACCAGAGTTTTCTCCTCTTCCAAGCTCGTGCATAATTGTAAGCCAACGGAGAAGAGTGTAGGTACTGCACCCTCCGTGAAGATGAAGATGTATCAGACAGTCATAGTGGTCGCGATGTCCCACTTGGTCTTTGTCTTGCAGTCCCAGAACTCATGGTTGATCATGCTCTCCCCGAAACCTGAGGCACTTTCTTCCTTTGTGCACCAATAGATCATACGCTCGATGTCGCTGCTCCAGCGGGTCCGAATGAACTTGCCTGACCATACATGATGAAGCTCTCGTTTAGTATCTCCAGTCGCAGAGGTGGCTGAAATGAGATTCCAAGAGCCATCGGAGTTGACAGTGCAACGAACGACGTTATTCCATCTCAGAAAGTCGGCCTCGACGAAGTCAAGATATGAGCCTACCTGAACGGAAACTTTTTATCAGCATGGCAATGAGATGTCAAGTGTGTCTGGTACTACCACTTACGAGGACTTGAGCTCCCTCCTTCCAAATTACGAGCTTGAGTTCCTTGTTGAGGATGCCTTCGATTGACTGGACGAGCTTGAAAGATGTAGTGCGCTTGTCGAGGAACTGCCCCAGAATGTCTTTTGAGATCTTGTAGAGCAGAGTGGCGACTGCGTCCTGAATTTTGACATCAAAGTTGGCCCCCGGGTCGGCGAATTCCAGGCAGCACAGGTCTGTATCAATGATGTGCGGGTGGTTTTCGGATGCACTGGCAGGCAAATTCTCATAGACGTTGAGGAACGGTACGGGAAGGAGACTGTGTTCACCGATCTCGTAATCATCGTCGACACCAGCGTCGTTACCATCATCGTGACCATTGTCGTGACCATCGTGGAGGCGATCGAGTAGATCGACGGGCTCGGCGCAAGTGCCGTCGGAGTTGGTAGCAAATACCATCGTGTCTGATTTGTCAGGTTGGTGTGTGTAGTTCAGGGAGCAAATCTTGGTCCAAGATCGTTTCGATTCCGCACCAGAAGCTTGGACCACAAAGGGAAGAATCAAACGGCAATGACAGTACGCGCAAGTCGAGGTGAGCGAGGATACTCCACTTTCGGTCGATCATTGGAATTAGTTATGTTTCTGTCCCCTAAAAGAAAATTACTCGGCGGCCTGATTAGGCAGGCGCACTCGTATGGCTAGACGCAGGTTCTACATCGATGCGTCAGTCCAATGTTTGACAGTTTCCTCTAAAGCACTTACAGACGGTCAAGTATAGATATATGATAAGACCAGGGACCAGTAATGTTTTGTGAGTGATCGGCGAAACCGTTAATATGTGCGATCTCAGTGAAGCTCACAGCATCTGATGACAACACTAGTATCTCTTTCACATGCTTGATCGAGTGATAACAATCATACCCTAGCCAACAGTGATCGTCCGACGCCACTCAGAGGCGACCCATAGCCTGCCCAATATCAAATAGTCAGCGAAGCTTCTGGCTATCATTGTCATCGTTGGGTCTTCGTTCGTGGTAGCCCTGTGAGGGGTGATCGACGAGTCGGAATCAATCATCCTTCCCGCCCAGACATCATCCCAGTTCTTGAGAAAAGTGTCGCGATTAGCTGCATATGTAATCTTCCAGCCTCTGTCCGAGTTGATGGACATACGCACGATCTTCATGAAAAAGATCTCGGGCGGTGCAGGTGGTGATTCGGAAATGGTGTACTGGCCAACCTGTAGAAAGACGTATTAGCGAGATGAACCATTACACTCTTCGGTCGGTCGTGTCTTACTACAACCTCGCTCCCTTTCCTCATCACCACAATACGGGTACCAGGCGGAGACTTGGATTCAAACTTGGTTCGGACTGTTTCCGCAGATCCGAGAAATTCTTCAAGGACACTGGCGGAGACTGAGTGGAGGGTCGTGGCGATCGCGTCTTGTATTTGGATGTCCGTGTTAACTGAGTCACCAGTGAAGTTGTAAGAGCCTCGGCTGATTATGTGGGCGTGATCGGGTGGAGCAGCAGCGGGGAGCCCAGGGAAAGTATTATTAAACCGGATATTGTGGATTGGATTCATCGTGCTTGGATTGACTATGACAGTTCTGCTGATAGACAGGTAGGTACTTGTATGTAGAGACACCTCATCTGCTTGCTATAGAATGCGTGATCTTAGATGCCGCTTGCTTGGAGCGCAAACGCGATCAAGATACACATGAGGCTATCGGAAGCTGTATGTTGTCATCATAGTATACGTTGCATCCGAATTTAGCTCTCTCCCATTATCCTGCGCAGCATCAGCACCTCGTGTTTTGTGACGAAGACGCTGTTAAGTCCCACCGAAGCATCAGTGGGCGACTGCGACCCTATGTTGTCAAGCGCATCGACCAGATCACGCACCTTTGCGCTCTCCCAGCCTCCTTTGTCATCGGTCCAGAAAACGCGTTTGATGCCCACAGACGCCATGTAGGATATGCATCGGTAGCAGGGTCGGGAAGACAGGACGGTGGGTTGCTTCTCGTCCTTTGTTGGAGTCGGCGGGTGCTTGGTGCGTGCTGGCCTCGCCGGCTCTGGACTGGTGAGCTCGTCGTGCAATGAACCTGTGGCAGGGCGCGATTGAGGTAGCGTCGCGGCGTCTTCGTCTGGCTCTTCCCAGCACACCTTTGGCGCACATTGCCAGCCCAGTCTTACGACGTACAGATCGGCTCCATTCAAACGTGGGCTCTTGGTCCTGTCTTTGAGATTGCGAGAACTCTGTCCAGTCTGTCCCTTCGGCATGAGCATTGGCTGACTCCTGGCGGTTGGGGGATTCTGTCTTTCAATCTATGATCGTCAGCATACGTGATAACAGAGCTTGGATGACGCACCTTTCCTGCTTTATCACGCTTATTGGATGACACTTCCGGCGACGAAGACGATTCAGAAGCGCTCGACGTTGGAGACTGATTGTAGCATGGGGCTACGATGGTCTGCCTACGCGCATGTTGTCGACCACTGTGTTTGTGTTGTCCATTGTTGGACTTGTTGCCAAGCTTGTGATGATGATGATTCTTCCCGTTCTTCAGGCGGTGTTTCTCCGTACTGTTCGCTTCCGATAAGGCCACGTTCTCGTTCTTCTCCTGGTCGTGAAACACAAGGTTCAGTCTCGCGCGATCCAGATGCAGAGGATTCAAATCGCCACTCTTGAACACCGGACTGGGCATTGCCAGAGGCCGCGGTGGACTGGGCCAGTGCGGCCTCGCAGATGGCTTTGACATAGGAGTTGATTGCTTCCCTTCGTAGTCGCGACTTTCGTTTAGAATCACCCGATAGTTTAAAGCACGGTTTTTCGGAGGACACCGCGCTCGAAGCCAGCGTGCTGGAAGCCGAGAGAGCAGAGTGAATCGCCATCATCTCGCTATGCATAGACAACGGAGTGTTGGCGAGCTTTCCTCCACCGCCCATGCTTTCAAACGGCGTAAACGTCTTATTCACATGGCCTTCCGGTATACCTAACTCTCGCTTAGTCGAGGAGCGCAGTGGGAGGCGCCCAGTCTTCAAGGCACCACCGTCGAAGCCAGAGCGATGATCATTGTAGCCCTGACCAATGACTTTGCCGCCACGGACTATGATGGCCCCATGGCGGTATCGTAAAGGCGACTTGGCGGCCTGCTCGAGGCAGAGGTTAAGGTAGTTGTCAGTCTTCATTTTGATGGACGGCAGGTGTGACTAGACTTTCGATGAGATCTGGTTAAAGGCTAGTATTGCGAGTGAGTACTGCGGATGTTTGGTTTTCGTGATGAATCTGATGACAGAGTCGTATTTGGCAGCTAGTAAGACGTGTTTTGGATGCACAAGGAGGCATGGGTGTGAGTCTTGACGCGTGAGGAAATGGCACCCGGGTTAGCGCCTTGGCAACACTCAAGCTTCACGCGCTCTTGCCTCTTCACATCTCCATCGCAGACGAACGCGTCATTGTGAAATCGCAATCAGCCCTGCGCAACCCTATGATTTATACGAAAGTTATTGTATATACAAAAAGTCCCAACGATCAACAAGTGGACGCCTACTCGGCCCAGACAACCGCGCTGAGACCGTCCTCGTTCTCCGGAATGCCGGCAGCCCCGATCCTAAGGTCCGCAACGCGCTCTCCCAACTTGCCAGTCGCCGGGTCTCTTGGTACGATAGCTACGTTCGAAGTGGTTTGATCACCAATAGCGACGAAGTCACCGGCCTTGTTGATGTCGAAAGTACGCGGGTATGTGCCGTAGGACGATGTGAGGGCAGTCCATGTCAGGCTTCCGTTAGGAGAGATGCTGAATTGGGTGATTGAGTCGTTGGGCTTGAATTTCTTGTCGTTTCGGTTGCTGGTGTAAACGAAGTTTCCCTTGACCTTAATCTCACCGACCTTGGTACCGGAAACGGCGGTGGCATTGCCTTGGTACGGTGTGAGCGTCTGCTTCAAGGTCAGAGACATGCAGCCTCCCGATGCGGGGTATGACACCGCCCATGCCGACACGCTGTTGGAGAGCTCGTTGGCGATGAAGAGCACTGTGCCGTCTGCAGCCCGGCGAACGCGCGAGTTCGCTCCTGCTGGCGCCCAGAAGGCGCCGTGCCTTGGTCCTGTTCCTGGTGGCGGCAAAGCAGCACCGCACTCTGTAAGATTGCCAGTTGTCTGGTCGATCTTGTTGATCCTGATCTTATCGGTTCCAAGATCAGGTACAATCAAGAAGTCGCCAGACGGGTCCACAAAAGCATGATGCGGGTGGGGGGCTTCTTGGCGGTAAGGGTTGACACTTTTACCAGTGTACTTGATTGTCTGAAGCGGCTGTCCGCCAGTCAATGGCAGCTTGAAGGTCGTCAACTGCGAAGTTTGGCTTTCGGTTGGTTAGCAATATCCTTGTCTACTCAATGGTGCTGACTTACTAGTGGGCATTCGCGATGAAGCTTCTTCCATCCGGACCACCATAGAGCGTTGTCGCAACCACACCCTGAGGTGTAGAGCCCTTTCCGATCGAGGTCACGTTGCCGTTCGCACCTGTGGAGAAGGATACCAAGTTTCCGCCTCCTTGGCCCTGGAAGACCTCATCTGGAATATAGAGCGCCTTTCCAGCACTGTCATATGTGATCCAACTAGGCAGCTTGTTGCCAGTAGAGGCCGAACTACTGAGAGTCAAGGCATTGCTGTTGAACGACAGGTAGTTGATGGTGCCGGAGTAGTGCGTCGCCCACAAGTTCGCCGCACTTGCGGCCGTGCCGAACAGCGGTAGAAGGAGTGAATGCGAATGGACCATGATGAGTATGGTTTGCGAGTCAGGATGTATCTGTTACTGACTTTGAAGCACAGGGAAGTAGCATCGTTTTGTATGTTCGACGTGTGTTCTTTGACATTTCCACCAGACCGCCTTGCGTCACGCGCCCGCACTCGACATTTCGGAGCTACGACGATGAAACACCTGACTACACCCTCTTGGACTAAACAACCGACTCCATCATGCGTTTTGCTGAAAGCGAGGGTGCCACTTCAGCCTCGGTGAGTATGCGATTGTCCAAGCCGGTTAAAGGCCGCACGTCGGACAATATATAGCAATCTACAGCCATGTTTCGAGCAGGGGTACAACGTTTCAGCCGGTTGCCGACCCCAGGTTGATCAACATGGCGAAATTGCAGTAGCCTTGCATTTCGGTCTTTCATCTCGGGCACGCGCATGTTAAGATCTCTTGGCCAGGCCTTATACCGGGAATGCAGCCGCCACGCCGCTGCCCTATGTCGGTACGTGGATGCGGCTGCAGCGCACCTGGACACGTGTGTGGGTATAGACGAGGTGGCATCTCTTAATCTTTCTGCGACCAATCTTTGCCAAGAGGTAAATCAAGCTGAAGCCACCGCTTCTTGGTATAGCCGTAGCTTGGAAGTTGTCGTGCGATGGAGGCAAGATCTGTTATTACCAGTACCAAATCCTCTTGGAATCCCCACGATTCCGACGAAGGATCCAAGGAAAGAGCAAGGTTTCCACTCTGGGCATTCTCATCCCTTCATCGCAGTCATGTCTCCTGGTCAGACATGTTTTCTGGGTCTTCAGCCGTAGTGTATTGGGTCAATATGTATCTCATCATCAGAATCCACCTCTAGGATTCAAGCAATCCATAAGTATCGCGAGGACGTTAGCGGATGAATTTTCTGGGCAGCCAAGCCACTTTCCGACTTCCAGAATGATGAAAGAATACTACACATGGCTGTTTGCAGCCTGCGCTCTCTTTTCTTGCACTACCGCTGCAAATTCCACATTGAGCGAATGCCTTGAGTCTCGCCAGGTTCCTGTATATGCTGCAGGCACTAAGAACTATACTCAGGCAATCAAGCCCTTCAATCTTCGTTTACCATTCAAGCCGGCTTCCTACGTTGTACCACAAACAGTCAAACAAGTCCAAGATGCCGTATCTTGCGGAGTTGAGAGTGGTGTTCAAGTCACTCCCAAGTGCGGAGGCCACAGCTACGGATCACATGGTCTTGGAGGCGAAGATGGACATTTGATTGTCGACATGCGTCGCTTCAACAGTGTAACTGTTGACCAAGAAGCACACACAGCTGTCATAGGAGCTGGTGGTAGACTGGGCAACATTGCTCTGGCTCTTTACGACCAAGGCAAGCAAGCCATCAGCCACGGAACATGTCCTGGGTAGGTCCTCATCCTTATCATCAACACCATATATGTACTAACACTTTCCAGTGTCGGTGTAAGCGGTCTCACTCTTCACGGAGGTTACGGCATGTCATCTCGCCTGCACGGCCTTACACTCGACCAACTTATCTCTGTAACTGTCGTCCTCCACAACAGCAGCGTAGTGACCGCGTCACCAACCTCCAACCCCGACCTCTTCTGGGCCCTACGAGGCGCCGGCGCCGCCTTCGGCATCGTCACCGACTTCAAGTTCAAAACGTTTGACGCCCCCGAAAGCAACCTCGTATTCTCCTACAGCCTCTCCCCATCCAACACATCGCAACTCGCCAACATCCTGACCGTCCTCCAAAACTTCACCATCCACGACCAACCCCCAGAGCTAAACATGCGCATGTTCCTCCCCAACCAACTGACTGGCGTATACTACGGTAACCGCAGCGCCTTCGACACCATCATGAACCCGCTGCTTACCAAACTCAACATCCCCCTTGAGGGACGCGGCGCAGGTACAGTTTCAACGAAGAAGTGGATCGACACTTTGACATCCTTTTCCAACGGCCCATTGCCCCAACCAGAAATATACGACTACCACGAGAACTTCTACGCCAAGTCACTCATGCCAGAGTATCTCTCCCCCGCTGCCATGACCGCCCTCGCAGACTACTACTTCACCACCGCGCGCAACATCCGGGGCCGATCCTGGTACCTCCTCATCGACATGCACGGTGGCTCCGGCTCCGCCATCTCCAAAGTACCCGCAGACGAGACGTCATACTCGCACCGCAATGCCGTCTTCAAGATGCAGTTCAACGACCGCATTTTCCCCGACAGCGCGACGTACACGCCTAAGATGATGGAGTTTCTGAATGGCTGGGTCGATGCGATTGAAAAGGCGAGCGAGGGCGAGCAGTTTGGCATGTATATCAATTATGCGGATACGAATCTTACCAAGGCGGATGCGCATTCGAGGTATTGGGGTGAGCATTATGAGAGGTTGGTGGGGATCAAGGGGGTGTATGATCCCCAGAAGGTGTTTGAGGGGCCGCAGTTGGTGGGAAGTTAGATTTTTGAGTTGTAGGGGTAGACTTTTGAACTGAATACGAGAGATGTGAACATGGACATGAATGAGAAAGAAGTGATCTGCTTGCTCGAGAAGAAAGTCTATACGGCCTACAAATACACATTTACACACCTAGATCTGTGTCTACAAGAATTCGATGCCAACGCCGAAGCTCAGTCCTTTCCTGCCTTCCTCCTTGGCCCTCATGACGAGTGGAAGAGAGAAGTTGATCTCGAATCTCGCAACAGGGTGTGCGTAGACGAGACCTAGACCAGCTGCCGCACTGGGAAGTTCGGCGGTGAGACTGGAGAAAGACTTTTGAATCGCGCCGGTTACGTCGCTTGAGCTGCCGAATGATCCGTCTTCTTTCTTGGAGTTGGGGTTCTTGAGTGCGAGGAGACGGCCACCGTTGATGAAAGCTTGGAGACGGAGAGGAGTCTCTTTGCCGACGCGCGGGATGGGGAGGAGGAGCGATGCGCCACCAGCAGCGTAGATGTCGCCACCTAGTGCATCAGCGCCGTCACGAGGACCGAGACCAGCGATGCGGAAGCCGCGAACGTTGTTGGGGCCGCCGAGCTGGAAGCGGTCGTTGATGCGCGAGGCCTGGGGTTGGCTCTCTCCGCCCAGAGCCATAGGGTAGAGAAGTCCACCACGTAGACCAGCAGTAAGCGTGATGCCTGTGTTGCCGAAGGGGAGAGCGACTTGCGACTCTGCCTCTGACTTCCAATATGCGGTGTCGCCCTTCAGCGGTCCCCAACCTGCAAGTTCGGATACGGTCTTCAAGAAGTAACCGCTGCTAGGCAAGAGAGGATAGTCGCGCTTGTCGTTGACCCAGGTATGCGAGATGCTCGACTTGAATGAGTCACCGGCATCTGCGCGAACAGAGGGCGATGCGTTCTCAGCCAGACTAGTCACCTGTCGCCAGATGCCAGAGTAGCCGAATTCGTGTGTCGCACCGTTCTTCATCCTCCATAGTAGCTTTGAGTTTCCGCCCTTGAGGACCTCCTCATGGCTTGCCCAGCTCTTCAGTGTCGAACTCGCGAATCCGTTGACCTGGAACTTGAGATCGGGGTTGCTAAGGATGGGACTGTCGAAGGCGAGGGAGTAGGCCGACCGTGTTCGCGTGCCCAGCGACCCGTGTGCGTTCAGCGTCTCGGCTCCACCAAGCAGATTTCGAAGTTCTGCGTGGACGTAGGCATCGGCTTCAGAGGCTCCAGCTTCGGTTCCGGTCTTGATGGTGTAGTTGCCGCGCTCTTGGGCCGAGATGTACACGTCAACATCCGTGGGGGAGGAAGAAGCGATGGTCTGGTTCGGACGGTCGAGGTAGACTGATATTGGCGATTTGAAGATACCTAGCCGTTGTTAGACAAATGTGAGCCCCTCCGTCGCATGTTAACGTACCAAAGCGGTTGAGCTTATCGGTAGCTTCGCCAACTTCCTTTATCGCATCTTCGAGAGAGTATGGCTGGTCCCGGTTTGCGCTCAGCAGGGGGTCGACTACTCGTTCGAGGAAGCTTCTTCGTGTGCGGTTGGCGTGGAGGATGCGGACCGACGATATTGTCACAGGCAGGGACGAGTTGTCTTCAATCTAGCACAGCCTCAGCAACAGCCCCAATTGAATGTCCCAGAATGCATACCAGCTCTCCCAGCCTCTCCTTCGACCTCTGCTGCTGGGCGTAGAGCCGCGCATTGAGCTCATCCTGCTGGCGCTTCTGCTCGTTCAGGTCCGTCTTGTTCTTGAGCCTTTCGAAGACCTGGGGCCCAATTAGCGATGTGCCGTTACTATCATGATGCACGTCTACTCACATCGTCTTCATGCGGCGAAGCCATTGGGCTGTCTGTGTCTGCGTGCGTGATGCTTGGCGTTGTTCAGAAACCTTGAACTTTGGATCGCCGCGGGCGGCGGATGCACGTGCGCTTACTCTCCAACTGTTCCAAGGCCGTCTGGACGTGCGACCCGAACTCTTTCACCGACGACCTAATTCACCTATCGCGCCTGCCTTTGTGATTCTTATCCTTTGTCTATCGCGGGGTAATCACTGAAAAACGTGCCACGCCTTCTGCACTGTTATCTGGTGGCCACCTATACAGCGCATCCGATAGTCGACGTCAACTATCTCCGCCCAGGAACACGTCGACTACCCCAACCACCCACTCACTCACTCTTCCCCCACATTCACATACCATGGCGACGCCAGCAGCCACCAAGCGCCTCACAAGAGAATATGCTTCCATCTCCAAATCACCACCGCCATTCATTACCGCACACCCTTCGGATAGGAACATCCTAGAATGGCACTACATCATCACCGGCCCACCAGACACACCCTACCACGGCGGCCAGTACTGGGGTACTCTGAACTTCCCGCCCGACTACCCCTTTGCGCCGCCCGCAATCCGCATGCACACACCATCCGGTCGATTCCAACCCAGCAGCCGGCTGTGCCTCAGCATCTCCGACTTTCACCCTAAGAGCTTCAACCCCGCATGGGAAGTCAGCACGATTCTGACGGGCCTGCTGAGTTTCATGACCAGTGACGAGATTACCACGG